TTTTTTTTTTTTTTTTTTTTTTTTTTTTTTGTTTTTTCAAGGAATACGAGAAGGGGATTTGGTCTTTTCTGTTGAATAAAGCGAAAAAGTATGCAGTTGGGAAAAAGGTTTTTTCGAAATTAGAGTCATTATCAAGTTGTAAAAATACTCGAACCGTAATGCTTATCAACGAGAGGATGCTACATTTCCCAGAGGCTATTGCGAAACCTTCATTTAAGGCATTGCTGTGAGTCTTAAACCGGTTATTAATTAGGAGTTAATTATTCTTTAATATACGTACATTTAACTTTGCTTTTAATAAAAGAGGCCTGGTCTCAGAAGGTTCAGTTTAGCTCAGATTTGGCTAAAGATGAAGATGCGAACGATTTCACTCATGTTATCTCAGTTATGAAAATAAGAGTTGCTGACGTTAACATACAGGAGAAAGTGCAAAAGAAGAAAGATATTACGAAAAAAAAGGTTGGGAAGGCAGAGAAAAAACGAATATGGACTGCTGCACTTCTGAAATCCAAAACAATGTTTGATAACCCTGAAGAAGAGCTTCTTTTCCAGGAAACTGCAAGTGTCATTGGCTATTTATTTTTATTTAAGCGTAATCATTTTTATTCAGCTGCAGCTGTAGTTAAAACTAATCAAAATCTGGCATAATTTCTGTAGTTTGTTGTAGGAGGAAGAAGAGGAGGATTTGCAATATTTTCAGTATCCTGTGGAAAGTGATGTTGAAAAAGGGTCAAAGTTCAGCGCTTTCACATTGTACGGCACAAACTTTAGGCCGTATAGGCGTGTCTGCGTTATGAGTCGTGGTGTTTTCGATCGTTTTGCGAAAGCCGTTAGTAGTCGACCTGTCATTTGAAATTTATGTTAAAAACATGTATTATAAGGACCTACAGCTGAGTGAGTAATTCTAAATTATTCTTGTATTTCTTTCGTTGAGAAGATCTGCAATAGGAAGGAAGATTTTTCTGTCATTGTTTAGCTCACTCTTTTTGAAAAATGTTGATATGTGTACTGTTGGAGTTCTAATTCTTCCCTATTTAATGCTATAAAAGCCATTAAGATCCCATTTGGAGTAGCACATACAATAATATTTAATGCCTTTTGAGTGTTATGGAAACAGTTGCGATTGCAGAAGCGAAATCATTTTTCTTTTGCTTACTAAATGACTGCCTGTGATTTGACTAAAAAGTTCGCATTGGCATCTCTCAAAAAAATAAAATTTTAGCAAAAGTATACTTTTTAGATTTCTGAAGTTTTTTCTTTGGGACAATTGAAGGTGTTGGGGGACGAAACGTGTAGTGGAGTGCAGGGTAACTCAAAAAAAAAAAAAAAAACTTTTACAGTTTTTTAAAGGTCATTTTCTTTATTTTCACATCTATTTTGTTTTTTAACTCCATTTCTCTTTCAGCCTATTACTGTTCTGAATCGATGGATGATTGTAATAAAATTTAAATCAGTTTTCTGAAAAATTTTCTTATCATGTTTGACATTTTAACTTCTTATAATTGTGTAAAGGTCTGTAGACTGTTGTGATAGATTCTGCGATAACATGCCACGGGTCAAATGTTGTTTGCTAATGGTTGGCCTCATGGTTTCGCGCTTAAGTTGGTGCTGCATTGCGAAAAATACATTGATCGTGTGTTGTAGACTTCCAGCTTTCGTAAAGGTTTAGCGGAAGATGCTGAGCTTGGATTTTTTCCTGCGTCGGCTGTGCTGTGTGGTGGTGACAATGCGGTCATCTTGTTCCTTCTCGTTCCGAATCATAAAAAGCAATTCTTATATTTTATGAAAAGGTATTACTGCATTTAATATATTCTAATATCCAACTCATTCAAAACTGTAGGGTGAGGATGATTTACGGTTACATTTAGTTTGCTTAGTGCTTACTGAAATGAAACCAGTTTTGTTAATAAATTATTTCTAAAGCAAGTGCTTTGTAGAGGAATTGCTGCAACTTAAGCATGTTTAAAATGGCGCTTGAAAAACTTGGGTATATCTGGAAGAGTTTTCATTATCCTGTTTCTGAATATTTCAGCTTTTTTTTTTTTTTTTTTTCGAGATTGAGGCACATTGCTTCGACAAATTTTTTGCTCTATTTGATAGTTGAAGGGGAGTTTAGGAAAGGAGAATAAGACAACAGTTGCCAGTTAGCTTTAAGTAATTCAATCATTGATTAATGGAAGTATACGTTTTTTATTCTTTAAATGTTTGCAGTTTTACTCTTAAAACGCTTATTGCTTGATATGAGAGGGAGGTGGAGGTTTAAGGAAGACTGAACTTTAGGAACATGCTAAAAAAAGTGTGTACTGAATTTTTTTAAATCACACAGTAGGCTGCTTTTTGCGCTGTGACAGAAGAGACTTTGTAAACAGTTGCACTTGAATTTGCGAATCAGGATTGTAAAGATCAGCTGTGCTAGTTGAGAGAGAGTGACACTGTCCGGAACTCTTTGCCAACTAAACTAATCAACCATTATGTACCGCATTTATGTTGAGGCATTTGAGATTGGCTTGGATTTGGAGTATTTTTTACTGCATTCACATTTTGCTCGCAACAGTTAGCACAGTTTCAGAATTTTCTCCAGATGTAAAGGAATAGAAAAAGTTCAGTTTCAATAACATAAAACCACAATATAACCATAAGTTGGATCTTTTAGGTTTAGATCGATGAGTAATCTTAACTGCTAAGCTTTATTTATTTGAAGTGTACAAAATTACTTTTCGTATGCCTTACAGAAAGAGTCAATTTTTTAGGAGCCGGTTTTAAATTCAGTGGCCGTTTCCGTCTCTCTCATTTTCTTTCGTTGATAATATAATTTGAAGAAGCTGTTTCATGACCCCAATGACAAAATTTGGAATTCCTTTCCGTTTTGTTTTTCAAACAATCATCTTTTCTGCTCTTCAGAAGGGTACCCAATGGGGTGCAGAGTTGGAAACGGCTTGTTTCAGTTTATAATTTGAAGGTCTTAATTTTAGCATTAAATCTTTAAAAAATTAGGAGGAAATGGATTAATGAATCGAAATATGCTGCAGCGCAGAAACAGAAGAGTGTTGTGTGTGTAAATTGAAGGTTGCCTATTGAAAAAAGGACAGAGTTTGACAGTGGAGACGCTTAATTGTAAAACCACTAATTTCACTTTTTTTTTAGAAGGGCATTCAACGAAGCATCGATAAATTAAAAACTGTTTTGATTGTCATTTGCTAAAATGACAGTTACATGTTCGTTTGTTTGAAACATTACGCTCAGAATACTAGAGGGTCAAAATTGGCCAAATAAAACGGAATGCCCTGTACAGGTTTCATCGACTTGGTTGACGTTACTGTTGTTTTTGGTGTTGTTCTCCCAGTACGTCCGTTGCAAATGTTGTGTGTACTAATCAGTACGTCGGTAAAGTGGAAATCTGAATAATTTTAAATGCAGTAATTTAGTGTCCACGATTCATCAAGCTAATCTTTTGTGCTCCACACCTCCATTTTCGGACGACCGATCAGGTGTTCGCTTTTTGCTTATCATCTTTTGAACAGTTAGATTTTAATCGTTTGTAACACAGTTATAATATCGATATTGATGGTTGTTATTATTTTTATTGTCACTCATTGTTTCATTTGCTATATTTCTAATTTTTTAAGTGTAATTATTGTTTCAACCAATTACTTTTTTTTCTTGTTGTTGCCACCTTTTTAATGACCTTACCAGGCGTTTTTTTTGATATTTTTTTCAGCAGTTACTTTTTGACCTCTTCTCTTTGATTTCTGTTTTCAAGTCTTACTGCCACTGTTGCACTTATTCTTACTCTTATTTTTATTATTATTATTGTTCTTTTTTTTTTGTTACTGTTACTTCTTTCTCGTAATTATCAGTTTTTTACTGTCTTTTATTATTTTTGGTCATCCAATTTTCATTTTGTTGTTTTTGACTTTTGTCGTTACTCTTTTTAATTCTTTTTTTTTTCCTTGTATTGTTAAGCTACTCTGTATCAAATTAAAAATAACTTTTTTTTTGTCAGCTTAATACTTCAAATTTGTATTTTCATTCCAAAGATCCTTGGATATGCTTGGTAAGATACAGAGAGATGATGGCCATACAAACAACAGGAGACATATATTCAAAAAATCGTTTTGAATTTTTCAAGGAGTTTGCATGAAACTTTATGATCTCTTCTACAATAAAATTTGAAAACCGAATCACATCAATTAGACAGCAAAGATTTCCATGCTTTTTTTCTTTTTTAATATTTATTTCAGACCCACTTTTTGCATGGCTAAAAATAATAGCTACAGAAGTGGAAAACTGTATTTTACCGGCAACATGTTCAAAATACATCAGAAAACATGGAAATTTATCCGATGTCACCCATTGTGTTCTGAAGAGAATTTCTAAGAGCGCTAAAATAAAGTTCAAGGGTGCTTAGTGATGAACATGTGTCAGCAGTTTTTTTAACCTTAAACTAGACGTTATTAAATTAAGTTTAAAAAACACGACAAATGCTTCTGTTTTGAGTAAAAACACTGACTAACACTGAACAATGGAATCGAGACGGTAATAACACGAAAGTAAAACAACCAAACAATTCAATATTCAAAGCTTAGGTAAGAACTCGTTGTTTTTAGTTTCTGTCTGATTTATCCTAATGTTTATCATTATCCTTTTTTTTTTTTTCAGCACATTTTTTCTTTTTTAAATCAAATCTTTAGACACGATTCGGTTTAATTCACTCAGAACAGAAGTCAATAGTTGTGTTAACTAATTGTAAAATATTTAACGAAAGATTTCATTCAAGAAAACAATTGTCATTTTTAAGTTTCGTATTTTAAAATGCTTTCTGAATCTTCGTTTTGAAAGTTTAACTTAGATGGCGTTGCATTATTCTGTTATGCGAATATATGCCAAACTGAAGCTGATGAACAGCAATGATAATTTCTGCGTGAAGCAACAAATCGGGTAATCTTAACGAGCCTTTATTTCGTCTTCAGGTAGTCAAAACTGTAATCGCAAAAGCCGTGTGGAGACTATATTGAAGAAAATAAAAAAAATAGTTGGTACGAAAAAAAAATGCAACTTTTTATTCAGGACGAATGAAGTGGAAAATGGTAATTGGATTTTCTTGTGAGACATCGATTGCGTTGAGACAACTGAAATTTATCCTTTTTTAAACCATGGTATAAAATATATGAAAGTAAATGCTTTTTAGCAACTAAGGAGGTTCAAGAGTTGCGGCGGAGTAAGATGTTTAAACAGGCAGAAACTACTTGAGACTAAGTCGGACATTAGCTTTGGCTTTAGTATCTTCGTTAAATCTGAACTACACTTGTTCCTTTCACTGACTTCTGGCGTTCGGATTAAGCGAATTCAGAAAATGTGATACGGCTTAATTTGTTCAACTGATGGTCAGAGACAGTCGCAAAAAAAAAACAGTACCGAGAGCTTAATGAAAAAAGGACTACAAAGAGCACTTTTTTAGTACGATATTTAGAATCGAGCATTTTTACGTCTTGATCTGCAACTGTCCGAAATGACAAGACTGCAGACAACGAAGTTTTGTAGTTTCACCCGTATGACATCAATAAAATGCTTGAAATTTATGGCCTTTGTGATTCAGAAATGAAAAGACTTCAATTGTTAATAAGTCCTCAATTTAACAACCGTACCCAATGTAGGTTTTGCTCTGAAGGCGACTCTTTCAACAAGGTTCAAAAATGGTATTAATTACTCTTATTTCTCAGTATCTAAAATCTCATAATTGCAGCCTTAATCCTACTCTTCAGATATAAAATGTTTTCTTCATTTACTACTTAACAGTTTAAGATTACATTTCAAATACCAATACTGCTTTTGTATTGCAAAATCTGCAGATACAAACCTCAGTGCAGCACACATTACGAGGATGGCGTAAAGTTTTAACCCTAAATGGGCAACAAGCATTTTACTTTCGCTACTGATTTAGCTGAAATTAGAGCTTATTTTTGGCCTATCCTATACAACAAGTTATCGAAGAAATCAGAAAAGTTGCTTAATTGAGATGGTATAGATGCAAAAAAAAATTAAATGCTGTTCTGTACAGAAAACTGAGCATAACGGTAGTTAAAACTGAATACACTTGTGTGAAGTTTTGTATCATATGGTTTTTACTTCTTTTTTTTTTCCACCTATTCATTTGTCCATTGTCTCATCTGATGTTGGCAGAGAAATGAGGAGAAAAAATAAGCAACAAGTTAGTTTTTTACATTGTTCCAACAATTGACTTGTTGTATTGAAAAGCAGCTGATTTTTACAACACTAAAAAATATGTATCTAAAAATTATTAAGTTTTGTTGCGGACTGAATACACAAACGTAATAATTCATCTGTATTATTTTTGAAAAGTATCTACAACAATAAAAACAACAACAACAACACTGTATTACAAATATTTTAATTCTATTGTTGAAAAAAATATATATATATCTTCATAACAAAAGACAAATTATTGCTGCTGAATTTTTTTTTTTTTGATTCAGAAGAACAAGAAAAGAAAAAAAGAAATTGAAAAAATTATTTGAATTTTTAGTAGAATAGTTTCTTAATTTGAGATAAAACGATAGGGAATCATGAAGATGTAGAAACTAGAAATGTGGTAGAAAGTTGGACTTGAGGGAAACAGTCCCAGACGGACCGTAAACAGTAAACAGTACTGAATCTATCTGACGATGGCGGTGGTCGCGTATCAAAACTAAGTTGCAGTTGCATCAATTTGATAAAATTGCAGTAAACAGAGAGATGTGTATTTTAAAAGTGACAAAAAAAAAAGAAGAGAGAATTCTTCAAAAAAAAAATTCTTTTTTTCATCTTTTTTTTTTCACCATCAATTTTCGTAGTTCTTTTTACCTTTAAAAAAGCACAAAAAAAAAGGAGAAAACCCAAAGCAAGGAGTACAACAGATTTTTTTAGTACCCCACACACAAAGGTTGTTTGAAAACATTGGCAATGTTTCCAACGGGGATCGAAGGGGGACGGGGAGTTCACTATAAATACGTTTTGCTCGCCGGTCCGCTCTCATTTATTTTCCTATTTTATTTCAGAAGCGTTTTCTATTTTAGTTCTGTTTTCAGCTTTTCTTCTTTTTTTTTTTTTGTTTGCTCGATATTCATCCATCATTTTCATGTTCTCCTTCTTCTTCTTCGTCGTCGTTGTCGTCTTCGTCTTTTTCCTCGTTTTGTTTTTTTTTCCTTGTTTTCATATTCCTTTAATACTCGTTTTGCTATGCTAATAGAGGTTTTTTTTTCTGTTGTTACTGGAAAAATAAAAATCCATTTTTGATAGCATATCGAAATTGTTGAATGTTGGTTGCTATTGTTGTTGTCGTTGTTGTTGTTGTTGTTGTTCGATAGGGGAAAAGGAGTTTGGCACATGGGCTAACAACGCTATCTGTTGCTATATAGATTAGGCATGATGACATAGCAAAGTTCCTTTTTTTTTCCCTTTTCTTTTCTTTATTCTAATGTTGATTGCACATCACATTTATATTTGCTTCATCCCTTCATCCTGGTACTGCATTTCGCCATACACATTTTTCGTTTATTCATATTAAAAAAAAGTGCATATATATATTTGTTTATCAGACAGCAGATTTCCTGTTAACAAAATGTATTGATAAATTTAATGATGGTAGTTTATTCATGTTTTTTTTTTCGTTATTTCTTTATCGTTATATTTTGAAGTGTTGTAATTTTGTTGCCTGTTTATTAAAGTCTGAATTTGTTGCTGTAGTCGTTAGTGTTCACTGTGACTACATCGCTAAATGTAGCAAACAATTCATTTCTTCTATCCCTTTTATTTTTTACTTTTTCAGGCAGTTATGCCTCCTAAAGAAACGTCGGATCGTGCAACTCGTCTAGCAGCATTGTTAGCATCAAAAAATGCATTAATTCGTCGGGAGGCAGCCGATGCTCTGGGACATTTCCCTTTTGCAAACCCCCAGATTCCAAAATTACTCCGGTAACTTTAGTTAAATGTGATATTCCAATGGTTTTTTTTTCTTTTCTTGATTACCGTACGGTGAGGGTTTCTTTGGTAGAAACTCAACTTTTACCTGGAGGGCTGTCAAAAGATAATGCTGTTAACTCTATTTTCAGTGATTATCTGCATTCTACTTCGTGGGAGACTCGAGTTGCAGCTTCTGAGGCTTTACAAGCAGTTTTAAAAACCACTCCTACTTCATCTGATGAAATAATTCCTTCTGTCCTGTTGTTCTCATCGTTGGATCTTTTTACGACTGTTCGAGATTTTTATCCGCTTTTGAGGTTCTTCTCTGCTCTAATTTTACAGTCAGAGTTTGTATAATTGCCTCTATTTTTGTCACTTATATTATTTTACAGTTGTGAGTCAGAATTAGTGACTCGAGTTGGGAGCACTAGCTCATACGGCGAACAGCGTAAATTGGTGGACGAACAGCTGGAGATGCAGTATGCTGCTGGAATTTCTTCTAAAAGCTTTATAACAGAAGAAGATTTTGGGCCTGTGACAGAGTCGATGTCAGAACAAAAGGTCTGCTTTTGGCATTAGTGTTTTTTCATTTTTAAGAGGCAGTCATGTTTTACCGTAAATCTAGTCGAGACACTGGTATATTTCTGTAGCAGGTTGTGTAGTTCTGTGAAGGAGTTTCTTTGAAATTTTTCAATGCAAATATGATAGTTTTTCTGTACCTCGAACTCAGTCGTTCTTGTGCTTAAATTCAATTTACCGTTTGAGGGACATTGGGTCTTTGCCCGTTGCTTTAGGTGTCAGAATTCCTTAAAAATCATTTAGTAGATGAGTTGTTTGATGTTCTCATTTAAAAATGGCAATTTAGGGTTTTTCTGTATTATATTCTTGCAGCTTCGCTTGGATACGAGTGCTCTCTCGATTAAAGAAGAGGAAGCAGTGGACGACTATGATAGTGTCGTAAGGTCTTTTTGTAAGGATATGATTGATGACTTGGCTAATCCAAAGTGGGAAATAAGGCATGGAGCTGCCCTGGGACTTGTAGTCTTGTTGAAGTTTGCTCGTGCAAGGTCAGTGCTTTCTGGCTCTTATCATAATTTGATATAAAATGTTCTTTTCTGATGTAAAAGGTCAGAATGTGAAAAAGACAGCACATCGGTTTTTTTCAAAAAATTATGATTTTTAGATTGTGTTAATTTGGAATAAGGCATTTTTTCTTTAGTCTCACTTCCTCTCTTATCGATGTGCTCTCGGTGCGCCTCTTCCAAACTTTGGCACTTGATACCTTCATTGATTTTGCCTCAGGAAGGTAGATTTTTGTACCGGTTCCTTTTACTATATTTTTTTTTGCTTGTGGAAGGAAGGAGAGCAAAAAATTTCTTTTTCAATGGTTGTTTTTGTCTTTTGCAAAAATGTTTTTTTTTTTTGTGCAGCTCTTTCAGATTCTTTGCGAGTGACCTAGAGTATTTGAATTGTTTTATTCTTTGATTGCTTTATTTTTTTAAAAGTTAGATTCTTTCTGCTCTTGTGTTTTTAGGCTACAATAGATTTAAATTTCAAGATTTTATTGTAGTTCTCAGCTTCTGAAGATAGTAGGTAATTGCTAAGTTGTAATTTTCAGGTCAGCTGTCGGCCCTGTAAGGGAAACAGTTGCAGAATGTATTGCATCTTTAATTGTTGCTTTTCCTCGTGGTGAGTTTATAGATTTAATCTTGAAACATCTGAAGGTTTTGTATTCTATGGATGATGCCACTTGGGCCAAAATGGGTTTCGATTACCACTCGGAGGCTCGTAAGCATGTAAATATCTATTTACTATTTATTTTACAATGTTCCCGTGCTTATTTATTTCCAAGCATATAGTGAAGGTTACTTCAAATACCCAGTAATTTTTTTCTTTTTTTTTTGTCCCGGTTCTTTATAATATCCAATTGTAGCTTTGGTTGCAACGCCAAGCCGCTGTCCTGGTTTTGAAATATCATCTAGCTGGACCGCTGTTCTATCTGAAATTTAATGATTTTTATGGCATTATATCACGTTCTTTTGAAGATCCACATGATGAGGCAGGTAGTTTTATGCCTGAACTATGTCGTAATTGTCATATTTTACGGTTTGGCTATTGACGACCTTTCAAATGTTATAGAGACAATTTGGAAGTAGGTTTTAGAGTAACTTTACCGTTACCGCAGTATTGGTGAACAGCATTTTTTAGGTTTCTTCCTGTGCATTAACAGCGGTGACGGCACTGTATTGCAAGAAGGATTTGCCTGAGGATATAAGTGAACAGCTTTCAAACGTTGAGGAGATTGTTTACCGTTTCATTGATTCTGCTTGCAGTTCAAGCAAACAACAGGTTTGAACTCTCTTCATTGATCATTGAGTTGACATGTTTCTTTTTTTACTTAAATTTTAGTTTGTTGATGTTGACACGGTTATTGTTGATCTCTTGGCTTTATTGCTCATTTGGATGGATGGAAATAATTTGCGTAATTTACCGTACTCAGTTCTTATAAGTCTTTCTCATCTGTTAAATCCTTTACATATAACCAGATCTCTGAGAATTGTTAACGTATTCTCCACATCTTTCTCAAGGACTTTATTCAAAAGGGTTAGTTATTCAAATTTAAACTTTCTGCTTTTTTGCAGTTTCATAGGTAGGGTTTCGTAAGAGTTGTTGATGTTGTAGGTGTGGAAAATGATTTTTTTTTAAATTCTTTTTGGTGCAAGAAGTTTTAGGAAGAAGCAGATACAGAATTTGAAAATTGTGCGATGGAAGTGATTTCTTCTCTTTATCGTTTGGTCCTTTTTGCCGCTCCACGTGGTACTGATGAGCTTATTGAAGCATCAATTTTATGTTCATATTGTATTGCTTCGCAATTTTTGACCTTGCATCGGCTGCCAACTGCACTGGTGGAGACTATCGGTCGATGGTCTGCCTGTCTTTTGCTAGATGCAAAAAATGCGGAAATTGGTAACTGTTTAATAAACCACTGTCTCTTCCTGTGCCGAATGTTGCTGTTGATTTTACACATCATTGCCTTTTAGAACTTGTAGAATATAATGTCAGCAAAGACGGAGCTCCCGGAAAAGTAGAGTCTCTTTGTGGAGAAGAAGTACGTGCAATGAATGACATGGAGCGTATCGATGCTCTTTTAACTAGGAAGATACAAATAGCGCGGTTTTTGGCTCCATTGGTTTCAGCCATTTATGATTTCCCTTCAGTGGTAGGTGTTCTTATATTTTTTCTATTCAAATATTATTGCTAAAGGATTGTTCGAGTTTGTCACTGGGATTGATCAGAATTTTTGATTCCAGATAGGTGGACAGTCTTTGTGTGAGGCACTACAATTATTGGTTTCACCTATTTTAACGTCTGCATTACTTATGCATCGATTAGGGGGCTCTTTATTGGTTCATAGCTGGTTCACTTATAATTGGCAAGTTCTGATTAAATTTGCTGGTTCATTTTTAACTGATTTTTTTGGCTTTTTTTTTTAAACTGTGGAGTTTAGGCGTGTCGGCAAGAATACAAACCCACCCGTATTTGTCATAACATTATTACAAAAAATGGCTCTCTCTTCAGAAGTTTTCTACGATGACGAAAAATTTTTCTTCCATTATTTGGACAGTGCATACAAAGAATTTGCGAATTACTGCAGAAAGAAGGGAGTAACAGACAAAGAAGTTTTTAAAATTGCAGAAGAAGGGGAAAGCTTGGAGTTGAATGCCGAGTACTTCTTTCTTTTGTTTTTAAAGTAAATGTTTGTTTTGTTGGACTAATTCTTTTTGGTAAATAGTTTATTGGATTTTGAGGAAACTTTATGCCATTTGCTCTGGAAGGGTAAAGAAGGACGAAGACGTGAATTGTTTGGGACTGCGTTACAACAGTTTTAAAAATGTGGTTGCCACTGCTAAGGCTGTTATGACAGCTAACATCACGTGACTGCTTTTTTATGTCTTGTTATCATATTGTTTTCTGTAATTATCGTTTTTCAAAATGAATGCCGTGTCTGACAAGGTTTGATGTGTTCGCAGTTTGAGAGACAGATGGAGGTTTTGGTTTTTTTCGGGTTCTTTTAAAATGCTTATTTTATTTGCATTTCAGACGTGTTGGAGCATTAGTCGTTTCTGCACTTTTATTAGCATACCCTCGTATTCTTCTCGAATCTTCTACTCTGAATCCATTTATAAAACCACTACTTGGGCTTTTGCGCTATGAAGAGAATGTAACAGTTGCGAGGCATATCTTGAATTCACTCCCAGTTTTGTTTAGGATGACTTCAGGTCTACCTTAATTATAGGTTGTTTCAAAGCTCTGTTGACTAGCGTTTAGAGCTTCTTGTAGTACCCATTTGGTTGGATTCTAAGCATTCAAGTTTGCTGTGCGAATTTTGTTTCTTTTGCAGAAAAGGTACCATGCCCTCACGCCAAAATGGTCAAGCAAATAGTTGCCTGTCTTACTACTTGTGACAACTTTTTTACTTCAGAATATGATACGTAAGAACCTTACTATTTTATTGTATTATTTTATTTTCTGTTTTCCAAAGACCGTTTTCATTACTAGCTGTTTGCAACTTTAAAAACGGTAGCGGTGTTTTTTAGACAATGATGCACCAATAATATTTTTTACATGCATTGTTTGAAGTTTTAAAAGTGTGAAGTCGTGGCTTTCTGGTTCTTAATCCAAATTTAGGATGACTGAGATATTACTGTCGCAGATCCCTCACTCTGCCTCCTCTCCATCTTCTTTGGTTGCGGAATCAGCTATACGTGCACTAACTGATCCTTTTGCCGCCGCTGACTTGAATACCCTACTTGAGTTCAGGAAACGAGAATCTACAAAAGTCTGTTTTTTTTTTTTTTTTTTTGACAGGCAAAGGATTTGATCCCATTTTCTTATACATCTCCATTCCAACTTTTACATTTTGATACAATGGTAGTTTTTAGGAATCTGCAATGTTTATGATTGCGTATGGGATATATTGTGATGAAACAAGACATCTTGGTTTGGCCGTACCATCCTCAATTCACGATTTTCTGTCGTTTCTAAAGGAGAGCCTGATCTGTAAGTAGCAACTATGCTCTCTTGAATGACATTTTCTTGTGAACGTTATTTCATAGTCTGCCGCATTCGTTAAAAGTCAGTAAATTTACAGCGGGGAACGCGACGATGCGGTATTGCAGTGCGCGTTGCATCGTTGAAATCGCGAGATTAGATGGAATGTTATCGGAAGTACTGAAGGAAGTAGTCGTGCCAATTTCTGACCTTCTACAATCTGGTGTAACTTCTGTTGCATCAAAGTGTGGTTTAGCAGAACTCACATTCCTTTTAAGCGAATTGAATTTAGAGGTTATTTCTAACAATAATATTCTTTGCTTTTTTAAATTTCTTTCTTTCCTTCGTGATTGTACTTTTGCGTTATCATATATTGGGATGTATTTAGGTACTTGGAGGTCTTCGAATATTAGCTCCTATTTCTTTACGTCAGATGTCGGATAACTGTGAATATGTGCGTGAGGCGGCATCTATCAGTTTTCGTAATTACGTGCCGCTAATGGTTTTAAAAACAGTAAGGAAATAATGAATTTTATGGTATCTATCCTTATATGGCATCTGTTATCTGTTGATGCAACAACGTACTTGTAAAACCTGTAAGATCGTGTTACGGAAATGTTGTTAGAGTACGCGGGAGGAAAGGACAATGACCGCAAATGATTTGGCAGATAAAGACGTTACCGACTGTTCCATGGTTCTTTTGCTGGGGGATCCTTCGAAGTTGCCTCCATTAGATCTCTCAGAAATACATGGTCTTGAAAAGAGTTTTTCACTGCGCCGTTATCAAGAGGTGATTTTTTTATTACTTTTTTTCGCAAGTTTTCTCTCTCATTTTTTTATTTGATTTGCTTGTGATTTTTTTAACGTTCCTTTGTTTTATAATTTCTTTTCCTTCTGTATCGTTACAGATAACTTTTAGGAGGGTATTCGGTGGATGTCTTTCATTGAACAGTGTGGAGTTAATGGAATTCTTGCTGATGATATGGGTTTGGGTAAGACTCTGCAAACACTTTGTCTTTTAGCGATGAAAATACGTGGAAAACCCTCTGCTAAGGTTTGATTGGACTAATTTCTTCGCGAAATCATTTTCCTCATCTTGATAATTTACCAGTTATTTTGCAGAACTTACAAATCAATATTTTACTTGCAGGTATTGATAGTTTGTCCTCCTACTTTGGTGAATCACTGGGTCACCGAATGGTCCAAATACTTTCCTTCTTTACCCCCTTTTCACTCGGTAGACGAAGGAGTAAGAGAACGGCGGTGGCTAGCAATGGGGAAAGATCAATTTGTTACAGTTGCGTCGTACAATACTGTTCGGAATTGTCCTTTTTTCC